CCAGCGAAGCCGTAACATAGAGCTCCTCAACTACACCTATCGAAGGTACATGGAAAAGTTGGGACAAGACAGACTTCAGATGGAGAGCTTGACTTCTAGGAATTCCCCCCCCCCCCCCCCTCCCCCCCCCCCAACAGCTCTCTTCCCCCAACTTTGTTGGAAAAGGTCATGCATTGGACGGCGTAGAGGCATTCGAATGAGTATTTCGCTTATGTGCTGTTCTTCTGGGGCAGCTTAAGCTATGCCTAATTTTTTTCTTCCAATGAACGACACCCACCAAGCAGGTTCAAGAGGAAATGCACTAACAGCCGCGAATGAGCGCAGCGCCGTTAAACGCAGAACGATAGGCCCGGCTCCACCTATACGACCAGCGCGGGAACATTCCATGAGAGACGTGAAACCAGTCAGGCCTCTAATTCTGACAGGAATTCTACTGTTACAGTATTTTCAAGCAGGTGGATAATTTTAGGCCCTGACGAAGGCGAGGAAGCCGAAACGTTGGCCAATAAATCATAAATTATAAAAATCTTTAATAATCTAAATTATGAAAATACAACAATGCCAAGATTAAGAGAAGGTCGATCCTGGTCGATTCTACTGCACAGTGTTGGGAGGGGCCATATTATGCAACTTTATAAATAGCAAAGACATTTGGTAGTGACACGGTGTGTTGGAGAGCAGGGACATTAGCGCTGACCGTGGCGCGCGAGTAAAGGTCATGCAACTGTTTGAAGGCGCAGTCTACTATAGTCACTTGGGCGGAGCCAGGCTCACCGTAAAGGCTCGTTGAAGTGGTCCTTAAAAGTGAAGGGCTGGACAAACGAAATGGGGTTCATGTTAGGTCTAATTCCACCTATACGAGTAGAGCGCCCTCAACCCTAGCCCCAAGTAACTCACACATTGTTGACGTGCTCACGTCGAAGATCCGCTTCTGTGCGGAATTCGATGACTTCGATCCCTTGGAAATGGTTTACCAAATAGCGCTTCAGCATATCCTAAAATTGCGACACTTACATTCATTTTCACCGATGTTAGTAGGGGCGTGTCAGCGGCGCTTGTCTATTAAAGCGGCGCCAGCCTATTTTCCATCAATTGTTGCGGCTTCGGGCGTTCAAGGAGTGATGGAAAAGGGGCTGGTGCCGCGCCTAAACCCTTATGCCGCTGACACGTTCCAACTGACTTCAGTGATAATAACTTCCATCTTGAACACATGTCTTCTACAAAAAAAACCACCCACATCTCCCGTTCTTGGATAGGCGTCTCGCATCCAGCTACCGTAATACGTGGTAGCATGTGAATGAAATACTGGTTTGCCGACCGATTGCAGCTTACAATCTGTAGTAACCGGACTAAATGTATGTCACTGCAATGTATTTGGCAGGACTACATATTGCTAAAACTTATTACAAGATTATAAGTTGAGGGGACAGTCAAAACTGCGCGTGAAGTAGTGTGTTGTCCCGTGAACACACATTGGACAAGAAGCTCTGAGGCCACGCGGCAAGCGAAAGCGACGCTTCCGCTGTAGCCAAGTGCTGCCTAGGCGAACTAGGGAACTACTAAGTGCTCTAACAAGGGAGGTCGTTCAGGCCGTGGTGAGCTTTTTCAAAACGATTTGTTGCATGTTGTAGGGGTCCATACAAGGACCACACAGATGGGTTTCATTTTTGCTAAACGCTATTGGGAATGCCAAAAAAGGAATAAAAACAAATCGCTCAAAATACGCAAATTTTATCATCTCATTCGCATCTGTTTCTGCTGTAAAGCAGAATACATAGAGTTTATAAAGTGTTCCTCAACTAGACATGAAAAACAATACTGAATAAGGTCGAAATTGAAGTGCTTTACTTTGCATACAGTGAGGTATACTGCAGTTTCTTTAGGGGTTTATGCAGCATCCCTTCGCGCTCGCAGTGCCATTTAGCGCCACGCTGGCCCCAGATTACGTCGGCGCCATAAATAATTGTCAGAATCGTGATCAGGGCCATTGATTACCCCTATTTAAGAGGTTTCAGCGAAAAATTTTTTTTCGAGTTTTTTTGGTGGTCATGGACTTGACCATTTGGATGGCAGTGACAGGCGAACCACCATTGGGTATCCTCTCTGGCATACAAACCACCAGAAATTTTTCATTTCTTGCACTCTCAACTTCAGTAGGTTTACATAGAACACCGTGCTGGCTTCGGAGTCATTAAACGAGCATCCTGAAACTTTCTCCACTTTTACCGTCTTCGACAATTTCGACAAAGAACTCGTTACCACCTGCCCGGAAAAAAAATCTTGTTTCTCCCATATCAAAGGTATTAGTGGTGTGCAGTGTATGTGCTTCTCACTGTTCTGTGTGGCTGTTATAATTTATTTCGTCTGCCATACTAACAATATGGTCTACCTTGGCGTGGAGTACGAAGCTTTGAAGCGGGATCGGAATACCCGTCAGGGTAGAGTTACGCCGGAACCCCATACTGATTCCCGTGACGAAAGAACCCGAAGTGCCCAAGCTCTTGGTGGGACGGCGCTCTCCTTGAGCGACAGGAACGCCCTAGCAAGGCTATCCTGTGGGACGAAAAATGCTACGACCACTTCTTACATTAGCCTTAGTCCCCTGCAGGCTGTCACTGCTCAGTCGTGTAGCGCTGGTTCAAGCACGCAACCAAGGCTCATAATCTCAGGTTAAGCTACACAAACAAGAGAAGGACAAGAGCGAGTCATCTGATAACCTGCACTTACAACTGCAGGAGTATCAGTTCGGCCGCTCAGCTTTCGGCACTCATTGATGAAGCTCAACGGATCAAGTATCATGTAATCGGACTCAGTGAGACAAAGAGGAAGGAATCGTTAACATGCACGTGGACAGATGGAACGGCATTATACCTAGGAGCACGCAAGCACAATGCAACTTCAGGAGGTGTTGGATTCATCGTGGCACCTGACTTCTGCAAGCATGTACGAAGTGTCAAGTTCTACGGTCACCGTTTCGCATTACTCAGCGCCAGTATCTCCAAAGATATACACGTCGCCATTATACAAGTATACGCGCCCACAGCGGATTGCGAAGAAGAAGAGCACAACGACTTCTACGATCAACTCGAAGAGCTTATACACAACCAGAAAGGCTATGTCGTAGTGATGGGCGACTTCAACGCCCGAGTCGGATCGCGAAAGGCTGGCGAATTATTCATAGGCCCTCATTCTGCTGAGCAGCGCAACGAAGCAGGAGAAAGGCTGGCAAATTTTTGCGAATCGCACCATCTCTTCCATGGCAACAGTCAGTTTCTCAAAGCGGCCTCAAAAAGATGGACCCACGTATCTCCAAACGGGCAGTACTTTCATGAAATTGACCATATACTGTGCTCGCAATTAGAAAGAGCAGCAAACAGGACTGTCGTCGCGTCCGTTCCGTCCTTCAACGCAGGAAGCGACCATCGCCTTTTACGAGCGAGATTCCACTTTGATCGAGGCCTAATACGTACGATACGAGTGCGCTCAAGGCAAACATGCCCCCGGACAGTGTTGAATGCGGAATTAGTAGCAGGACTTGCGAGTATGGAACCATTCGAAATGATGGATGATATTGACGAAGATTATCAACGTCTCATAGAAACAGTAGAAAGGCTTGCACAGCGTTGCCGTGACGTAGCCCCGAACCACACCGCTCGTCGTATATCGTCTTCTACTCGTGCACTGCTCGAAAAACGGAGGAATATCGATCGTCAAGGAAATCATTTGGAGTACACGCTTCTATCCAGGATGTGCAGGCGACGAGTCGCGGAAGACCATGCAAACTTTACCAGGTCAAGGCTTCTGGAAGAAGCAGAAAATAGGAGAAGTCTCAAAAAAGCTAAGAGAAGCTTAGCTGAATACCGCTTGATGATCCCTTGTCTTAAGGCCGAGGACGGATCTCGTTGTTCGTCGATACCAGAAATGGAGAGGATTCTGGCGTCATTCTATACCAATCTTTTTAAGTCGGACCTGATCATTGAAGCACGTGAGAAATCGTCACATGATCGAAGTTCAGTTCTGCCTTTCCTCACATCAGAAGTACGCCATGCAGTCCAGACGATGGCGCGAGGAAAAGCACCCGGAAAGGACGGTATCACAATAGAACTACTCCAGGCGTGTGGATCACCTCTCTATCAAGCCCTTGCCAAACGATATACTCGCTACCTGGTCGAAAGTGCGGTGCCAACGGCATGGAAACAGTCATCGACGGTGTTGTTGTTCAAGAAAGGCGATAAGGAAGACCTGGCGAATTACAGGCCAATCACGCTTCTTCCAGTATTTTACAAAGTGTTCACTCGCTGTATACTGGCACGCAATGCGAAGGGCGCTAGAAGAAGCTCAACCGATAGAACAAGCAGGATTCCGTCGAAATTTCAGCACGCTGGACCATATCGCAACATGTCGTCGCCTAATAGAGGCAACTCGAGAACATCACATGCCTCTTGTACTCACATTTGTTGACTACAAGAAGGCGTTCGATTCGGTAGAGCCAATGAAGGTTTGGGAATCGCTTGAAGAGCAAGGAATTGAGAAGATCTACATCGACGTGCTGCAGGAATGTTACACCGATTGTACTACCACGTTCCGCCCCTTTTTCCACGATGTGGTAGTTTCAATTAAGAAAGGTGTGCGGCAAGGTGATCCGATCTCACCCAACCTATTCTCCGCGTGTTTGGAATCCGTTATACGCCGTTGCGATTGGAGCAGATTTGGATTGAACATTGACGGCACTCTTCTTAATCACCTTCGCTTCGCCGATGACATTGTGCTTATTACTAGCTCGCCAGAGGAAGCATCAGAGATGTTGGATCGTTTGGACCAAGAAGGAACTCAGTACGGTTTGACGATGAACACATCAAAAACGAAAGTCATGCGGAACCGATTCTTCGCCGGAGGTGCGACCGTAACCTTAAAAGGGAGCCCGATCGAAGACGTCGAAAATTACGTGTACCTCGGGAGTGAGCTAAACATGAGCAATGACTTGGCCGGTGAGCTGAGGAGACGCTGCAAAGCTGGATGGGCAGCATTCAACTCAATAAAGAGCGTCGTGGAAGACACCAGAGACCTGAAGCTCCGTGCGGACCTCTTTAATACAACAGTGTTGCCTGCCCTAAGCTACGCAGGAGAAACTTGGGCCCTCACAAAAGCGCAAGAAAAACGATTAAAGAGTGCCCAAACATCAATTGAGCGCCGCCTAGTGAAGGCCTGACGTTAAGCCGTCAACGAGAACTGCAACTTCACAACTCGGACGTCAGGGCCATGTCGAAGATCAAGGACATTGTACTCCACGTCGACGAAGTCGAAACATCGATTTGCTGCCACGTGATGAGGAGAAATGACGGGAGATGGAGCTCTGCGACGATGCGATGTACCCGCGTGATAAGAAACGACCACCGGGCCGCCCTCCTCTGCGATGGGCAGATTCTCTGGCCTATCGCAACAATGTCTATGATCAAATTTCTCTTAAGGTCTCTATACACTGGACAAGCAAGGCTCAAGACAGAGATCAATGGAAAAGAAGTTGGGACCCGCGCAAGGTCAACCGCCTCTGAGAGCGCGGTCGCACTAAGTTAACTAAGTAAGTAATATAACAAATAAAAAGCCCCTCTTAACGATGTTAAAATATGACTCTTTGGGGGACGGCCGGCTCCTTCGGGATACGGGGGTGGGCAGGGGGGGGGAACTGATAGCCACTAGCTGGAGACATGGCAGGCACCATATACACAAAAACTCGGAAAAAATTTTTCCGACGTAACTCTATACGTAGGGATAGTTCATGGTCCTGATCACGGTTCTGACACTTATTTTTGGCACGGAGGCCATCTGGGACCAGTATGGCACTAAATAAGCCCCGCCGCGCAGACTACATGACGTGCTGGTACGAGTAAGCCTTTACACCAATTGGCCGAACACTGCATTGCGCCCATATTTAAAAATGAGTGTCATGTTCATGATCAGAGCATCGGATAACCGCCGTAACCCAAGTTTCATAGTGAGTTTCTTCGATAGTATTTCGCGAGCGTGCGTAACACATTGCAGTAGGCATACGTTTGTGAACTGTTCCCGCATGGAATGTGCCTTTAAATGGCGTATATCCGGGTCATACACATTATGGGGCATTCGGGAATACAAGATGCAAGAAATCTGAAAAATGCAAAAAGTGTGCACAAGGGACTCGATCCATAAAACCACCTTATTGAGAGCGCCGTCGGCTATTCCACAACGGCCATCTGTCCCACTGCGATGTGGGAAGATGTAGCGACCTGGTGAAGACGACAACAGATGCCGGAAAACTCCAATTGCAGCTCCACCTACATGCCAAGTAAAGCATTTGGATTTTGACCTTATTTTGGGCTGTTTTTCATGCCTACTCAAAGGATACCCTACATACTATACCCTGTCAACGCTACAGCTAGAACAGAGGCGAATAAGGTGGTTTAAAAAGTCCATTCTTTTCGAATTATTTTTGACCTCTTTTTGACATTCCCAGTACCGTTTAGCAAAAATGAACCCCATCGCAGTGGTCCTCGCATAGACCCCTACAACATGCAACAAACCGTTTTGAAAAAGCTCACCACGGCCTGAACGACCTCCCTTGTAGACCAATATGCACTCGCTGGTCCTAGGCACTAGCTTTACGCGCAGTTTTGGGTACTGTATCCCGCCTGTTTCCCTCCCTAAACTTATAATTAGGTGAGCTTATCATCATGGCAAGGATGGAAAGGCTTATCATCATGGCAAAGGATGGAAAGATCAAAAGAGTGATAGTGCCGAAAAAAGAACTGACTTGCAGTTGCTCCTTGTATATAGGCAGATTCCGTTGACGTTTCAATTTCTTGCTCCATTTCAGCTGTTAGATTGCCCATGCAAACTTTCAAGCATGTCTCCAGGTCAGAATTGTTGTATACCATCTGGAATAAAGATTTCTACACTTGAAATTCAAAAAGTTCTGATGCTGTTTTCTACTCTTGAAAATCGAAAATCATAAATCGGAATTCTAGGATCCCTAGTGCGAGTCGAAATACGCCACGCATACTGCTCCTATTAGAAATCCTAGAAATCCGACTCCAATTTTCGATATGGCCTGCATACTGTCTGCGAGGGCCACAATGCACACGTGAGCTCTTTTTTCTCCATGAGTTCATGTACCACGTAACCGATCCGCCCTCCTCCTCTCCCCACCTGGCGGCTATGCATGCGAAATACATGGTGCACTTACTAAATTCGCCCGGAAAGACCATAAATCTGTGACAGAGTATTCGTAGTTAAGGACAGACCACGCTCTCAACCAATCCGTAAAATTCCTTCTTGCCCAGGTAGAGTGTTAAAGAGCGGATAACTTTGGGCCCAAGGAGGGAATTCATTTGCGAACTGGTGAACAGGGTTGTTACCGTCGCTTTAGAAGTCATACGGCCGTTGGCTGCGTGCATGCTTTGCCGCAGCATTGCACTCCGAGCGTCCGGTCCACTTTCGAACACTGCTGCGCGTTCGCGCCTCATAGCGCTGGCAGACGCTATTTCGATAACTATGACAGGGGGTGCAAAAAGGTCGCTTTAGAGACAGTGAACCAAGTCAGCAAAGTTTTCGCAGCCCAGGACAGAGGGAAACTGGCGGAATAAAAAAGCGAGTACCAGGGCGAAGATACCCAAGATGTTCCTCGATAAGCAGGAGCTCTCGCCCATCACCTTCATGTACACCAAAATATGAAGTCATCTCCAGCCGCAACCTGACTGGAGAAGACCTTCGGAATCATGTCACCTCCAAACAGCTGCGAAACTTCTAGTATGGAGTCACCCATGGATAGCTACCTGGAGACCAGTACTCTCGATCTGGATGACCTCCAACATCGAGCAGCTCCGACAACGTCGCTACGGTCCAGGACATCATCTTCACCCAGTCGCCAAGGCGCCAGTTGATGGTAGGGACCGGAGCGTACGTGGAATGGAAAGCCAATATTTCTTCGTGGGCCCGGACTGAAGGTGAGCGCTGGCGATTTTACATCGAGCAACTCGTGAAGAATATCCTCCTCACATGTCGTCGCCCGTACCTTCTTGGAAACTTTGTACTGCTACAGCATTGGGTGCCACCACATGGAATCGAAGGGCATTGGAAAACTCTCGCCTACTTGGAATGGAAGGGGGCTGAGTACCTAAAGAAGATGGAATATCCAAGTTTTAGGTCACCTGACCTGAATCCCTCAATTATCCGGTTCGGGCGGAGTTCAATAGGGTGTCTACGGTGGCGGAGAAATCGACTATCTCGCTGATCTCAGGCACCACATCGCGGTCGCGTGCCAGAATCTCTCGATGGCGCTCGTCCAGAAGGCTGTGGCGGAGTGTCATGATAGTATTTGATATGCTCTTAATGGATGGTGGTTGAAAATGCCGATCAGAGTTGCTAATAAAGCTGTAGACTTATAGCGCCTCGTCAAAGTCAATAAGAAAAGTGCACTTTTGGCCTGCCCCCCTTGCACTTTCTTTAGCTCTCGAACGCTGCTGGTCGCTGGAGGACGATGCCGCAGTCTAAGAGCGCAGCTCACACCTCTTATTCCGACGAAACACTGTTTAATGTCCCCTCCGAAAGAAAAGAAAGTCCTTAATGCATGGCTCCTGGGCCTATGTAGGTATTGCCCATGACATCGTCATGTGTTCGTCATCGTTTCGTGTTCCCCTTCTCCGGTGAGCCTTATCCTTGCATGAGAAGGTTCATTCATACCTGCGCTACAAAGGAAGGCAAAGCTCGATCAATAAGCTTCGGACCGATCATATTATCCACTGATGTCTTTTCTGAGCACTTCACTTCTTCAACCTAAACAAGGACATTTGGACTCGGGAATATTGGTAGTTCATCAAAAATGAGTGCAATGCCCTAAAACCGACCTTGGGACAAGCTATAGTTTTCTGCATGAGGAACTCTTCACTAACTAAACATTCTTTGCATACAGCATCTTGACCTGGAGGTCCCGGTGGACCTAAAGTAAATTTTTAGCTTTTCTTGAACCTCGGCAATACCCACTGTTTTTACCTCTTGGTCCTGGCAGACCAGGCACACCCATCAGTCCTGGACGTCCAATGGGACCAGGAGAGCCTGTTTTGCTGGAAAAATTGAGTATTTTTTCTTTCATTGGTTGGTGACTTGGAATTGATGCAGTAAGCCCGTCTGAGCTTTTCGACTCGGAATAAATGCACATTTGGCAGTAACCGAATAGGAGGAGACACAACTGTCAAGCCCACATCATTTGAGCGGTCCTCCTTCTAGTTTGGCAATGACGGAGATGCTTCAGTAAGTAGGGCACAGCGGTTATGAGTCATTGTCCATTCTCCACCCATCCGGAACGTGCCTCCAAAAGCCGTGGGCACGATGGCTGGGGGGTGGGGGCGTAAAGTGGAAGTGAATGTGGCCGAAGGCCCTTTCGCAGCCCTTCCACCAATGACGCTGGCAATAATCGTCCACCTCTAGCAATCGTGCCCACTGCCTTCAAAAGCATACAATCTTGTAGAATAGAGGCGCTTCTTAACAACACTCACAACAAAACAAAAGTAACTGGTAGACAGTTGTTATTCACAGAAAGTGTTAGTTAATCTTACCCAGGTGGACCTCTTGGACCAGGCGGCCCGGGCGGACCTCGATCAGAGCTATCGATACTGGTGCAATACTGGTGCAGGTCCAAACATTTTTGTAATAGTCCACCAGCCTAAACAAGCGAATTCACTTGAAATTTATCCTTCATCCCTAGAAAAGGTTCTGATTTTATGAGAATGTTTGCATCTGATGATGAAGGAGCGCTGAACGAGTAACATCATCGTCAGCGGGATTAGGATAGCTGAGAAGAACTTATTTACGGCTTGGCGTAGGATCCGGACGCAAAAATCCAGGGTCTTTGGGAGGCTGTCGCAGCATAACCACGTACCAAAAGTCATTCGAAGCTCTCAACGCACTTGAAGTCTCGGGATTCCTTCTCAAATAACAACTACATGTACACTCCTTATCCCTGAGACGGAGTAGGCGTGGCTTTTGAGCATGGCATAGGACGGGTTTCTCGTGGGATACTTCAATTTGAAACAACTGCTATCTTGTTCTGTGCTATATGTAGACATGATTACGACTGCTCCGAAATGACAATATCTCACGAAAACCTGGGCCGACGCCAATCAAGTACGCAGCCACGCCTACCCGATCTCAGGGATTTCGAGTATATCTTCCTCGTGAGCATCTTGGTGGGACCTGATAGCATGATGCTTTGCCAAACAGCCATCACGATGATGGGATCGAAAGAAACTTCACATGGTCACTCCACATGTGGCAATCCCTTCAAAGACAATTTCCTCGCTGGACGCTAGGGTGGACCGAAAAATAGCATTCGCCTTCATTGCTCATTTCTCTCTTTTTTAACTGTAAGCCTATAAAGAGGGGGAGCACGCCAAACAAAATGGCAGGCACGATTTCAGCCATAAGTTCAACGCTACGTGTGTCTTCTAGTCCCGTCATGCCTACCATAACCCTAAACTGACTCGCCCCCCCCCCCGCCACAGTGAGGTGAATACGAGCTTATGAGGGTCGATAGTACAGGGCTATGTTCCAGGGCAAAAAAAGGGGGAAGGGTTCGGAGGGCCTGAAACTCGCTCGCTCCACTTCGGCATAGACACACATGCTGCAAGTTATAGTAAGGGGGCGGAGTCCAAAACAGTCGAGCTGTCATAACCCTTCAGATTCATTTCCGCGCACTTAGAGATGACGAAAGTGGCCCACTACTACAGCTCTATTTTTACGAAATTAGAAATAG